GCCACGAGAATCAAGAAAGATATGGTACATGAGCTGAGCATCAAAGAAAGCTAAAGACTTCAAGAGGCAGAAATGAGAAGGGAACTCACCTCAGCATGAAGGATAGACAGGCTTTACAAAGACACAATGGTGAAAGATGATGTGCTCACTCAGAGGACACGAAGTAGAGCAGTTTGAATGGGGCCTCCACCCAATGAGATTAGAGGAAGAGAGGCTATAGGGACACCATCATTTGACTCCCACAGAAGAGTATGGTTCCATTCCCTCATAGGATTTAAAATTGACTCACAGAGGTCATCCAGGCCAAACATCCTATTTTATAGATGAGGAAGCCAAGGGCCAGAGATGTGAACTGATTTATCCAAAGTCATATAGCTAACAAAAAAAAAATTAGAATTCAAACCCAGATTCTTGGACTCCAAATCTGGTGTTCTTTCTACTACACCACAACTGCCTCCTAAGATATTGTTATCCAGAGAAGAAAAAGCAACCGGAAATAGGAAGCATGGAAACTGAGAGCTCTTCACTCTGTCCAAAAAGGGAAATTAGGCTAATCATNCTGGGGCCTCCACCCAATGAGATTAGAGGAAGAGAGGCTATAGAGACACCATCATTTGACTCCCACAGAAGAGTATGGTTCCATTCCCTCATAGGATTAAAATTGACTCACAGAAGTCATCCAGGCCAACTATCTCATTTTATAGATGAGGAAACCAAGTCCCAGAAATGAGAAGGGATTATCCAAAGTCATACAGCTAGCTAGCAAAAAAAAAAATTTATTATTCAAACCCAGATTCTTGGACTTCAATCTGCTCTTCTTTCTACTACACCACAACTGCCTCCTAACATACTGTTATCCAGAGAAGAAAGAGCAACCGGAAGTAGGAAGCATGGAAACTGAGAGCTCTTCACTCTGTCCAAAAAGGGAAATTAGGCTAATCATTGATATGCTCTGTTTCCCAATCCTTCATCTGGAAAGGGGGGGAGGGGAAATCTTTCATAAAAATGTGAACAATTGGGTAGAATATTCAGATTCTTCCATCTTGATTCTGATTTTCAGACTTGGGAATGAATACCAACACATCTTCTAGAATCAGAGTGGAGATAAAACTCTTCCATCCATGCCTCTGTCAGGTTCTTCTATGCTAAGGGGCACTGTAGCATAACGGAAGGGTATGGACTTGGAGTCAAAAGAACTGGATTTGAATCCCAACTCTGCTACTTAGGATCATTGATTCAGAACTGGAAGAAGCCCCAGATGTGTGGTCTTCACCTTTCTGAGCATCAGGTTCCTCATCTGTAAAATAGATACCTACAGGAGAACCTCCAAGATTATTGTGAGGAGTAAGTGAAAAATCATTGCTTTACTGTGAGCTACTATGATCTCAAACCAGAACAAAATGTCATAGAAAGAAGTTAGAAAACTTTTTTGGTGGTGAGTTTCACCATCACCTGAAATGCCCAAGCAAAAACTGGATGACCACCTGTCAAGACAGAGTGAAGCAGTTCTTGCATTGAGTTCACCTAGATGCCTATACAGGTGACTTCCAATACTAACATCCAAGTTTCTGTGTTTTCACTAATATAATGAAATTAAAGTCCTAAGTTAATAATAATAACAAGAATAGTAGCTAGCATTTATATAGCATCTACTATGTGTCAGACACTATGCTAAACCCTTTACAAATGTTGTCTCATTTGGGTGTATCTTCCTTTATTCCAATATAACGTAACATCCTTGAGGGCAGGAACTGCTTTTCATTCTGATTTTGTTTCAGCACAGTGCCTTCTAGTTGGTTCATGAAGGCTTCTCAAATTGAATTGACATTGCCACTTAATGTTATGAAAGTCCGGAGTTTTCTAAGCCACCAAACTACACTGGTAACTCCATGAGATGTTCTTTACTTATTGCAGTCCTGAACTTTGAGTTCACTGGTATAGAGAATTCTCAGTGAGGAAATTCCCACTATCCATGAAAACTGGAGTCAGCTCTGTAACTTAGAGTCTTAGAGAAGTGCCTAGGAGACTAAGAGGTTAAATGACTTGCTCAGGGCCACACAGCCAGGAGGCTGTGCAGTCCTATGTAGACAGGTAGGGGACTTGAACTGAGGTGTTCCTGGCTGGGAAGTCCACTCTACCCAGCATCCTATGCTACCTCGTAGCAACTTTATTAATAATATCAAAAGAAAATGGAAAACAACCTACGTTGATAGTGAAACAGCTGATAAAACTGCAGTCTAGGGACATAGTAAAATGTAGCTGTTATTGTTGTTGTTCACCTATGTCCAACTCTTCATGACCCCACTTGGAGTTTTCCTGGCAAAGATACTGGAGTGGTTTGCCATTTCCATCTCTGTTCATTTTACAGATGGGGAAAGTGAGGCAAATAGGGTTAAGTGACTTTCCCAAGGTCACACAGCTAGTAAGTGTCTGGGGTCGGATTTGAGCTCAGAAAGACAAGTCCTCCTGACTCCAGGCTCTGCACTTTAACCACTGTAACACATATCTGCCCATTGTTGTATACACACATATGTATATACATATACACTCCCACATACACATATACATATATACAGATACACACACATCATTCTGGGGTGTTATTTGTCCTCTTTAGAACAAAGGATAAA